AGAAGCAATTATATTCCTGGATGGATACCTTGATTCCTTAAATGATTCCTTAATGATTCCTTAAATCGATCTTTACTAGATTTCTGTCCGTTCATGATCCCCGTATTTGGAAAACAGTATTATCTATTTATCCAAATTTCACTAGCAGATAAACTCCATATTCACAAGGCTTTGTCACGCATCAACAGATAATGGGTATATGCCTTCAGTGGGAGCCTGAGAAGATATTCAACCAATTTTTTTTATTTTTTTTTTTTTTAATTTCAGTTCACTGACCAGCATCACTTCAAGTTTTGCCAGCTATTTTTCATCCAGAATCTGCATAATCATAATCATGCTGCTGTCACCCGGCTTTGAAGACATTGGTTCTAAGAGAATGCCTTCTCCAGTCTCATGGCAGCTAAACCTATAGCACATCATCATCTCCTCTCCTGGACCCTAAACAAAGACCCTATTTTATTATATGACCTCCTGTTTTTTTTCATCTAAACTCTTTGGTCCACATTTTGAGCAATATTACTGTAGATCCCATGGAATGTTTGAATACCGCAATGTTCAAGTTTTCTTTTCATGGCATGGCTTCCCTAAGAATACTGCAAGTATAGCAGGGAAAAGAATTACTTGTCCATGGGCCACCTTGAGAAACAACATTAGCCTGCAAATAAACGATGTGAAACTCAAGAGAAGGATTTAAATGTACTTCCGTTTAAATATTTTACTTTCAAAATGTGCCAGATTGCAGCACCTGCCAGAAATCTCAAAAAAAAAATTTCTAAGGAAAGATCTCCTAGCCTCTCTAGTTCTTCAGAGACCATCTGAATTAGTAAAACTAGACACTGCACTGTTCCACAATAGAGCATGTTTAATTTTCAAGAACAAAGCATAAGTATTTCCCTCATAAGTCAACATTCTGAACTTCTGCAGAGTGGCATCACCCTGTAGAGCAGGTGTGAAAATGAGAAAGAGTTTGCTTAAAGAAGAATTGTGTAAAGATAATTCTCCCTCATCTTTTTGTAGACATACGACCTGCAGGGTACAGAACACATGAAGGATCTTGAAATGCAGAAATATCTGCTTTTGATAATATTTAAAGATCCTAGGAGACATTAGGGGGAATCCCTTATTGACTTAATACACGTCAGCATTTTCAGCTCGGTCTACAGATTTTTGTACACTTTTTTTGTATGTTTTTCTAACTTTCTCTATCATTACTAATGAAAAATATTGTAGATGACAGTAAGCAAAACGGATCCATAATAAAGACAAAGGTAGAAACACTGCAAGAATGGCAGCCATAGAAAGCTTTTTTAGAATGTAAATAACACGCTATAATTGCCTACTTGCCTTTTTATAAACCTAGTCTTAAAAAAAATACCAAAAAATCCCATCGGTTCCATCATAAAACAAGAAATTGCATATGACAAAATGAATTTAAAAGTAGCATTCCATTCTTGAGTGAACGTCTCACAGAAATAAACCGATTCCCAGGTTCAATAAAGAGGAAGATAATGGGCAAGGGAAAACAATTCTTTTTCATTGTGCTTCTTGGCATCAAAGCCTAAATTTCTTGTCAGAAAAGAATAGAGACTACCTAAGGAGAAAAAAGGCATTCTCCCAGCATACTCAATGTGCTTCTAAAATAAGACCCTCCCTACAAGCCACTCTGCACTCCCATAAATAGGCTAGGAGATATCAATCATGCAGAAGCATAATATGGTTGAGAGGAAGCATACAGTTTACCTTAACCTGGCACTGAGTAAATGAGGTAAATCTTGGGGAAAAGGTCTTTTTTTCCACTTTAGAGAGAGAAAAAAAAAAAGAAAGGCCAGTAACGTTGTTTTATTATTTGTCAGACATACCTGAAATTCATCACATTCAACTGTTTACTTCTACCTGAGTCACATGGCCTATCTGTACTTTAATTTCTTTGTTATTATTTGCCACTGAATACAGCATATTAATCAGCATGGCTGATGCACTTTATTTTTAAATGATAATATCTTTTTGAAAAATTCTGCTACAGAGTCATAGATGCTATTGAGTCATAAGAGCCTGCCTTAATCCTGCTTACCCCAATGACTGTACAAATCTAACCCCGTACTGTAGTCTCACCTCAATTGCTTACCATCTGAGTTGCCTTGGGGCAACTGATGATCACCTCTGTACTTTTCTTACATTTTCCATCCTTGGAGGAAATAGCAAATGGCTAAACTTCAAAATAATCAGCTGAACACTATAAAATAAGAAAAAAACCCGAATATTAAATACTACATATAGCTCTACAGTGGTGCTCCTGAGTTTCCTTGATGCGCATTTGACAACATTTATCCTCAATATCTACTGCAACCTGCTTAGCAATATTAGATCTTTATTAAAATTTTCAACTGTGATTTGTAGAAAAGTTCCTAAGAGCAAACCTAATCACTCATTGGTAGTAACAAAGACAGCTTCATTTTCAAAGTTTTATGCATACAATGTTCCCCAGCTGGTGTTTACTGAGACTTCAATTTGTCTTTAATCTTAACACTCTAATTTCTACACAAGAACAACTGTGCTCCAGAGGAGGGAAGCTGGGACACTGCATCAGGTTGTTTCCTACTGAGCAAAAATTCCCAGGGACTTCAAATGGGAAAAGAACTAGAAATGACATCCACAAGAGACAGCCAGAACAATGGCTCCCTGCCTCCCTCATTTTAGCAGCTCTGGAGAAACCTGTGTAAGCAGGTTCTGTAGGAATAAGATTATCAGGAGAAGAACAGAAACTGAATGCACTCAGCGGTAAAAGACATCCAGAGGCCGTTATGAAATGGCTGCTTTGGAGTGGCACATGCTGCTCTCTGCTGAATGTCCTGGGGCAAGCCTACAAAATGACACATGAGGAAATGTGCCAAGTGAGGCTTAAAGAAGATTGAATTATTATTATGAAATACAGTAAGAATGGGACTACCATATAAGGATTCAAATTTTACTTACAATTTGTGCACAATTCTTGTGCCGCAAGTAGGTATTACAAATTATCCTACAGAGGAAATGACCAAAGTCAGTGGGATTTTTAGTCAGCTTTCCAGACTAAAAGTTTTATATAGTATGCATACATATGTTTCTCACCATGCATGCAGGTTGCTCCAAAATTAATGCTTCCTATTTATTTTCATGGAAACTACAACAGATACAAAGAGCCCAATAACACTATTTGATAGAGCAGTTTCTCAGCTACAAAGCACTATTTGTCAACGCAGTCACCACTACTGCTGTGAATTTTCACCAGCGATGAACGAGATGCCACAGTCATAAAAATCTAAATCAGCAGAGGTCACTCGCTTTCACCACTGCTGAAATGCACCACCCACTGCCTCACTGTGCTCACATCCAACCTTTGGACTCCATAAATGTACAGCCAGAGTTGATGAATGTGAATGGGTGCCATTTTTTTCTGCACAGAGGAATTCAGTCCCACAGCTTTGCTTCATGCATAGTTCCATGTCAGACACCATTTTGTCAGCGCCCCTCTGCTGCCATCTGCCACATGCTCTCTCCCAACAGCCAGAGTAACCGCTGTCATTTTTAAATCAATATCCTCTTCTATCTTGCTAATTTCCACATAAAATATTTCTCCTCTAGCCTTCCCATGTCCAGACCCTTAATTTGCTCGTTCCATTCATATTCCCTTTAGACCTTTCTCCCACAAATCCTGCTTTTGCAGAAGATGTGCCTGAAGTGAGACTCTAGCTCTGGGACCAAGGTGACTTCTGTTCTCTCTCTCTCACCAATGAATTTAGCTCTTTCACTATCACCTCCCTTTCTATACTATTTCACATATATTTCATGAGATACTTAATGAATGCATGTACTAAAAAAACAAAAACAAAAAAAAACCATGCAAAATAAAAATTAGATCACTCTGGACAAATTAAACTAGTATTTAGGTAAAATTGCTATGAATTTCCTGTAGAAATTGTACCAAGCATTGATCCAGGTACACAATAACCTCTTCAGCATTTTAAAACATAAATTATTGGAGGAAAGAAAAGATGCAGCCTAAATAATGGCATAAGATTCAGGGGGTTTCCAGTCAATTCAAATTTTACCTGGATGTAAAACCCTCTGTGTGCCTGGATAAGTTACTTCATGTTTCACAGCTCTCTGTCAAAGAACAGCATTGAGTTTCCCTGGGATCACTGCTTCACCCTCTCTCCCATTAGCTCTGTAACCTCCTCAGGGCAGAGTCTCCCCTGCTATACATACAAATAACATCTGCAGCCAGGAAACCCCCATCTTATCTGGACTTGCAGGTTTTAACATATTATAAACACTTCATTAAGGGTTTTCATTAATGTAGCAGTTATTGGCAATGCTGAAAAATGCTTTTCTTTCTTTTTTGTCCTCTCTCTCTCATGAAGACATGGGCACACACATACCACTCACACAGACTTTCTGTGGCTGCCGTTACCACCACACACTGACCTTTGAAATATGGAAATAAAAATGCTCAGAAATAAAGCTGGCAGCAACAGCAGCCTGATTGTCGTCATTCAGAATCTGAAACAAGTAGGGCTATAGTTTGCAAGCTGTCTTCATAATTACTTGAAGCAGTTGTCACTCTGGCTCTAGTTTGTTCATTACACCCCAAACAAACAGCTGATACTTGTTAAAGCACATAAGCCACTTTGTTGAGGCAGGGTTCTTTATTGTGAGGGACCCTGCAGCTGCAAGTCACATGCAGTTCACAGTATTTCCTGATTTCCTTTGCTTTATTTGCCTGCCTGCATTCCCCTTACAGCAATGTTGTTGGTTTTTTTTTCTTTTTTCTTTTTTCTTTTTTTTTTTTTTATTAGGGAGAAAGAAATTAAAAAAAAAAAAAAAAAAAAAAAAAAAAGTACAATAAGGTAAATATTAGCTAACATAAAGCTTGATAGGCTTAAGGTTTATGACCCAAATCTGGTTCCAATTAAACAAATGCTTTTGCTGTGGTAAAGAATGCTTAGCAATAAGAACGTCATGGCTGGAATGTGGGGCTGCTGTGGGGCTGCTGCACTCCAGTGAAACAACTGCTGCTTATAGTTCAGCGCTTTCCCCCTTTGGAGAGGGAAATGAAAGAACAGCATAAATCTGAGCTGAGTCAGGAGGCTTCTGGGAAAGTCCTTTCTTTGCACTCCTAACTCCTGAACACTGAGGCATTGGTAAGTGTTCTGCCATGTGCTACAGAGAAACGCTCAGCTGGATGATGGTCATGATCATCTCTGATGAACCACTGGGTGCAGGCATAGGACCCCACTGGTCTGTGGGGGACAGGTCTCTGTGACTGCTGGCAGAGGTGAAGAAAGGAATGGAGAATGTATGCAGGAAGCAGATCTAGTTTAATCTGGGCTGTACAAGGAAAAATATCCTGTTTGATAATTATTTTTTTTTTCTAGCCTGCTCTGGCAACATGATTTTGAAATAACAAAGGCAACAAACAAGATCTGCTGGCCAAAGGAGTTGGCACAGCCTCATGCAAGACTAAACTGTTAAATAAGCTCTAGATGTGTGAACAGGGATCTGAGATTCATAGCATCAAACCTGGAAAAAATAATGTAATTTCTTTTAAAATAAAGGTGCAGAAGAAAGAACAATGTAAGTATTTCAAATGTGGTATATTTCATTTGGCTGACATCCCTTATTCCCTTTCCCATTACTCGCAGAGAATTTTTATGTGTGAAAAATCCCTGTTTGGCAATCTCTCAGGTCATATGAAATATGTTATTGGTTGTCCTTGTTGGAAGAGAAGAATCAGCTGAGATGTTGTTATTGCAACTCTTTAGAATGTGCATAAGACATACAGTCAAGGTGAGAAAAGACCAGTAAACAGAGAAGAAGTGTTTTATTTCTACCCTGTGGAGTTGCTGCTTCGTGCTGACGGCTGTGGAAAAATGAGCCCAGCACATTGTCTTGTCTGACATCTGCACATCCAGCAAACATATACCAGGGCTGAGCTATTCAAGATAATGTTATCTACACAGCAACTGACAAAGATATGCTCCCAGACTGCTAATCAGTCTTCCCATTAAATACAACACAATGGGAAAAGAAGTAAAGTAAAATGTTGTGTAGGGAGGGCTGGGGAGAATAAGGCCATGTGTTATTTAAGAATTTAGGCAAAGCCAAGGGAGGAGGGGAACAATCCTGACTTCATCTGTCAGAAAAGGAGTCAAATGGTTCACAGCATTAAAAGTGATTAGTGCCTAAAACCTGCTACGTGAATCTCATCCTTTGCCATTTGGTCATTTTCTATCTTCTGAAAAGTCTATACAAACATAGCAGGGAGAACAAGGTACCTTTCCATTATTCTATTCATAGTTTAGGCCTTTAATTTCTCATTCTTTTTCCTACCTAGCCACATGTATATGTGACTCTTGATGAAGCTATCTTTGTATTTCTTTCACTGTCATGGCTGACTTTTAGATTTTGCCTGTAAGACGCCATGTTAGAGCTCTGCTATTTTGCCAAACACAGGGAAGAAACCTAGGGTCCATGGAAAAAGGGAATGGACAGTCTATAATCCCAGCACAAAGCATTTTGTCACACTGAGTTCAGCTGAGGAATGACAGTAATGTCTGTACCCTTACAGGAGGAGCTAGGAGTACTTTCCAGGTGTTATATCGTCTCTAATGTGTACTCATCTAACAAGATGAGTACAGGCATGTGAAATCACTTTCTTCCATGCCTGTGCTGTCAGGGGAAAGAAAGAAAAGCATAAGGGGGAAGTACAAAGTGTACAGTTTCTTCTAAATCATCACAAACAGAACTGCAGGGAGTGTCTTTGTGTGTACCTGCTCCACAGAGTGGAGGTAGTCAGTGCAACTTTGTGTCTGTGACAGCACCAAGATCGGTTATCTACCAGCATGGTCAAGGGTGCATTGCCTTCTGCACTGATAGCAGATTGCTGGGATTCTGCCTCAGCTGAAAAGTTTTCCCTTGTTTAAGAAAGTTAAACTATGCCCAGTCTTCATTCCCTATAAGGGTGCAGAACCAGCAATAGCACCATGCAGCCCACCTGCAAAAATAATTTTGTTTGCAAACAGAAGTGATTTGTTTGCATAGAGGATGGGGTAAAAGCATAATGCTTCAGAATATAGCCCAAATGAAATTTCTTTCATTTCCATAGATGTTTCCTTTGTCTGACTCACTAGAAAGTCTGCTCGTATTGAGAGAAGTACCATTGAGTCTGTTTTATTGCTAGATAAACCAGGATGATTCCAGACTGAAATCAGAAAGCTTCTTAACAAAATAATAATACAATCAGTATGTTTCAACCTCTTAGAATCTGCTTTGCCGTACCACAGATTAACATTTTAGGAGGGACATCAAGCATTTAACAAAAGATTTGTTTTCCTCTTTTCCCCACCTTCCCTCAGTATCCTGAATGTGTTCTATTATTTAAATATTTAACAAGATAGGCAGCATTCTCCCTTAATTTAAACCCTGATGAAAGAGCATTCGAAAAAGTGACAAGACTATTATTCAAAGGAGAGGGTTGCACTAGTGGCTTGTTACTTCATTTTCATGACAAAGATTGCATCTGACATTTAATACCCAACATCTTTCAAGAAATATAGTGAAGCACACTACCACTTTGACCTTTTCTTCGTTCTTCCTTTCTGATTGGCCCATCCATTCCACTCTTTCTTGGGCATTATAGCTCTATCAATCAAGGAAATAGAGATTACAGTCCACTGAGAAACAAATACGCATTTAAAGGAGGCACCATTAAGGTTTTCATGTCCCACATTTTCCTTAGAATAGAACTGTTACAAATAGCTCGCTGGAAATCATTTTATCATGATTTTATTATTATCATTATTTATTATTATTACTCGTTTTATTCTCAAGCAACTTGCAATGAATAGAGAAAATAATAAATTTTTCAGCACTGGCAAATACATCGAGTCCACATCACCTAACATCATCCTTAGGTGACGGGTTTGCAGAAGCAGTGGATTTGCCATGATTATCTGAGGATGCTCATTGAGAGACAAAGATTTTTTGCTCATTCCCAAATCAACCTTCATGTTACAGCAGAATTCGTTCTCTCTCTTTTTCACACTCTATTTCTGTTCCCTCTGCATATATTCTGGGGAAAGAGCAGGTGAAATTTAAATAACAAAAAAATGTCCACCTGTAAAAAACAATAATCACCTCACACTTTTCCAGTGGCACTTTTCAGCTGCAGACCTCAAAGCGCTTCCCAGCAATGGAAGGAAGTATTTTTAGGCATGCCCTGTGTTTGACACTGAGTTCACTGTGGAGCCAGGAATGGAATCCAGTCCTCCCTGGTTTCCCCCCTGGGTTCTCCTTCTGGGAATCGGTGAAAATGTATAGGTAAATACCTATTTATCAGAGGGTAACAGTGAAAAAAACTGGAGACACTATATAGCGCCATTTGTGTCACCTTTATTTGCAGTTGCCATATTTTCCCACAAAAGAAAGAGTGATTTGTATACTGCTATTCACAGCAATGACAAACACATCATGGCTCACATCAAGGCAGTTTATGGCTGCTACTGACTGACATCAGCTCTGAATTATGTTCTGTGGTGACCGAATTCTTACTCACGTAACTGAAGATACAGAGGAGTAACCCTTGAAGCTGCCATGTAGGTAATGAAATAGCTGTCAGTCCACTGCTCAAGCAGCTCAGCAAACAAAAGGAATCACATTCATACAAAGGAGGGTAGCAAAGTAAAGAAGATGCGAAACAGACAGACAAGAAATTTTGGGAAGATGTTTTCAAAAACAAGAAGAGATCTGTAGAGAGAATCTGACTGAAAGGAACTTGAAATCCCAAATGCAAGCCCATCTCTGTAGCAGTAGCACAAGTATTTACATGACCTCAGACCGCTGCTTTAAAGAACTGAGCAAGCTCGTGTCATTCGTAAAAATTCCCACCAAAAGAGGCACCTGATTAATTTGCCATGTCCCTGTAATCTAATGCACAAAATAAATAACGATTAGGCTCAACTTCTTTGTGGGGCTGAAGAAAGCAGAGCAAATCATATCAGCAGACTGCAACACCGAATGAGAACTGGATGCAGTTGAGGGAGCAAAAGTGCTTCTCCAACCTTTACCCTGATAGGCAGAGTGAGAGGAGGAGGAGTTCGTTATACTCAGTTCTCCCCATGTCATTATGTCTTTGCTAATCTGGTAATGAAACAGGCACAAGTTCTTTCTCCAAATGCCAAAACTGCTTGCATTAGCCATTTTCCTTCTTAGCAAGGCTCAAGGATCGTTAAGAGTTATTTTTAAAACAAATTTTATTAGAAATCTAGTTCCTAAAAGCTAATCTGTTCATGAAAACCTGTTTGTTTGGATGAAAATGTAATCACGAAAATATCTGTAGATTTGTTTCAAGAGTTAAAGAGCCATGGCACTGTGCATAAGACACTCAACTGAGATCTTGGAGGTGTTAGCTCAAGGGTACTAGCCCTGCTCCAAAAATAGAGTCTTGAACTTAAATTATGAAGTACAGGCTAATCCTTGATGAAGTGTTTTCCTCCCTTTATCCTTCTCAAAAAATAAAATAAAATAAAATAAAATAAAATAAAATAAAATAAAATAAAATAAAATAAAATA